TCAGTATGGTTTTGTGAAAAGGAAATCATGTTTGACCAAATTTATTGGAGTTCTTTGAGGATATAACAAGCAGTGTAGATAAAGGGGACCCAGTGCATTTAACTGTCCAAAGGACATTTGATAAGGTATCACATAAAGGTTACTGCATGAGATAAGAGCTCATTGTGTTGGGAATGATATATTAACATAGAGGATTGGCTAGCTATCAAGAAATTGAGTCTGGCTGAGTAGATCATTTTCAAGTTGGCCAACTAATTCTGGCAGCACTCCAATAATTAATGTGCCTGTCTGAACTATCTGCAATCTATATTAATGAACAAAAGGACAGACTGTACTGAAGCCACATTTGCTGATGAAACAAAAATAGATAGGAAAGAAAGTTGTGAGGGCGATACAAAGAGACAGGAAAGTGACACAGAGAGGTGAAGTGAGTGGACAAAATATTGGCAAATGAAGTGCAAAATGGGAAATTGAACTTTGGATGGAAGAATTGAAAAGCAGATTATTAATTTAAATGCTGCAGTATAAAGGAACGTGGGTGTCTTTGTCTATGAATTGCAAAATGTTAGCATGTAGGTACAACCAGTGAGACATACCAGCATACAAATTAGGGGCAGGAGTAAGGCTTTCAGCCCTTTGCTGAACCATTTGACAAGATCATCACTGATTTGTTTGCAGACTCAATTCTGCTTTTCAATCTATCTTTTAAACGCTTTGACTCTCTTGGTCAATTAAAATTCTCTTTAATTCAGCTTTAAAAATATTCAATGGCCCTACCTCCAGTGGAGAGAATTTCATAGACCATTGACCATCTGAAAGAAAGTAAATACTTCTCATCTCAACCTAAATGGGAATTCCTTTATTTTAAACCTAAACCCTCTAGCTCTCATCACTGCCATAAGGGGAACCTCCTCTCAGTCTCCTTCCTGTCAAGTTTCCCAGTATATCATATTTTTCAATAAAATCACCTTGCATTTTTCAAAACCATAATAGATATGGGACCCATCTGAGCACCTTTCCTCATAAATAAACCCTTCAATACAGGAATCAGTTGACTTAACCGGTGAACTGCTTCTGATGCAATCATTTCCTTTCTTTAAAAGTAAAGGGAGCAAAACTATACACAATACTGTGGCTGCAGTTGCATCAAAGCACTGTACAACCAAAACAAAGTATGCTGACTTTATATTTCATGCCTCTTGCAATTAGTAAAAATATTCCATTAGCTTCCTAACAACTGGCTGCACCTGCAAACTAATATTTTTGTAAATCATGTGCTAGGATGCATATATCCTATGCTGCAGACTTCTTCAACTTCTCACCACTTAAGTAGTATCCTGCCTTTCTAGTCTTCTATTTCTCATTCTCCAACATTATATTCCATCTGTTAAATTTTATCCACTCACTTAACTTCTCTATATCTACTTGCTGCCTCCTTATGTCCTCTTCACAACTTATTCTCTTACCTACCTTTGTGTCATCAGCAGATTTGGTAACCATATATTAAGTCCCTTCATCTGAGGCAAATACACAGTGCTGGCATTTATTAAAAGTTGGGGGGGTGTGGGGTGGTAAAGTAGAAAGGATTACAGCTGCACAATGTGTGAGTGTTTTAATCTTTCCAACAAGATAAATTGGATTCTATAATTTCTCTTATTTTCAATGCTTAACCAGCAAACTAGGTGGACATATATTTTTAATTATGCAGTAACATTTATGAAGCACGTGTTGCTGAATAGATGTTTTTTTTTTCCCATATAAAACCATAGATACTAAAAGACAGGCAGGATCGTGCTTCAGTTTCATAGCTAATAAATACGCTAATGACTGAATAAAGTTGGGAATAAAAGGGAAAGAAAACATCAAACATAATTAAGGAATAGTGAGCAAGAATACCTGATGGTAAGATGTGTTTAGTTGACCAATTTGGACATCCTGTCAGTTCAGCTTTAGATTGTTGCTGTTCAGTTGCCAAAGAATTCAGCGCAGTGTCCTGGGTTACAGGAACTCTTCTCTTAATGTCAAGTGACAACCATTGATCCTTTATGTCCACTGCCCTTTGCCAAGTCATCTCCAGCCTTTTGAGTCTGTTGGACAGATCTTGACTCACCAAAAGAAGTTGATGAAGTATATTTTTCTTCTCTGACTCAATCTCTATATTGATTTCTCCGACTTCTTTCAATGTGTATGCCAATTTCTTGTCCATTTCTGTTGTGATACGCAAAATTGCATTATCAATGGCATCTGTATAAGTCCCTGCAAAGTTGGCTATGAATTGGTGCATTTCTGAATATACACTTTGCAATTCTATCTTACACACTTCTCCAATGGATTGTTGTAGGATGTTCTGTTTCATTTGGGAATCCTCCAGCATTACAAATAGCTTATCCCATTTAGTGAGCTCTTTCTGGCATTTACAGGAACCATCTGGGTGGGGGGATAAGTTTAGATTAAATAAGCACTTGGTAATTAATCACAGAAGGTCTCATATCACTACGTACATGCTGAATTAGATATTGCATTTTTTTTGTTGAAATGATGCTAAATTCATTAATTGACAGAAGAATCAGTTTGCAGCTTTACTTCAATGCTAATAAATATCAAGTAAAATTAAATTGGTTGTATTTTAATCAATTTGAGAAAGGAAGAAACAATCCGAATTTGTATAGCACCTATTGCAAACTCAAGACATCCTAAATTTTTCACAGTCAGCTATATACTTTTAAAGTGTGGCTATTGCTATATTGTACATACTGCTGCAGTCAGTATGCATACAACTCAGATATGCAATGTGATAATGACCAGATATTGGTATTTACATCCACAAAGGAAAGGCAGTCAATGACTTAATTTAACTCTCATCTGGAATATGGCATCTTTGAAACAACAGTCCCTCGATAGTATATTGAATTTTGTACAATCAAATTAAACTGATACTTTATTGTTGAATTCACTTGGATAGTAGTTTAATTTAAAATTATGTTCATGCTTGTTGAAAATCACATGCTACATGCTAGAATAACATAAGTATATTAATATTCTTTCAATGAATTTAGTATGTATTTTTTGTAAGAATTCATTCTAACATTAGCAACAGTGGCCTAACATGTAGGAGTAAATGGAAGTAAATCTGCATGCTGTCACATGTGGTATTTTTCTAATAGTTAGTAACATGTTCCTACATTTTTAGACAAGGAAATCATTCAACCATCAAGTATTTTAATTTGTGAAATGTTACTCTAAAAGCTAAATGTAATCTAGTTTCAAACTTCCTATTTCACCAGATAAGATAATGCTGCAAAACTGTAGAAAGCAATATGAAACAGAATGTAATCAATATTGAAAAATATCACTTTATCAAATCTGCAAATAACTTATAAAAATATCTTACCCGGTAAAACAGAGATTTTATTTTCCATTCCATGAATATATTGTATGTCTTCATAATCCTCTGCCAAAGTATAGGACAAGCTGAGTAGAATCCAAAGTATTATTTTCAGTGCAGCCATTTCTCTCGAGTTCTTTTCAGTGTTTAGAAGTATGAGGGCACTGTTCTATTGATTTAGCTCCTTCAGTACAAGCTCTAACACAAGTCTCCAAAAGCTCTTAATAAATAGTGAGGAGTGATGCAAGAACGTTGCTGCATGCACTTTATGCCAATGACAATGAGTTTTCTGCTTTCTGCTTTCGCAACAAAGAGGTTGAATTACACAACCTTTAAACTTGTGGTTTAAGAGCACATGTGGATAGGTGAATATAAGAATGGGCCCAGCACTGGGGTAAGTATAGATTGCAAGCCAGATGTAATGACCTACCACTAGGGAATGCATTTTTGTAATATAAAATGGTAGCAATAAGTGACGAATGTGTATGAAGGCAGAGCAGGGCAAGTCCCAAAGGACTGTGCAAAAATGCAAGGGCATTTATTTCTGCATTTCATTAGTTCTTTGTAAAACAGTTTTTCCATGTGAAAGTAGTTAGGTACAATTTCTAAGGCAGCTTTGAAAAGTTTAATTAAAGAAAAGCACAAATGTGTTTAGCATTTTTTTTAAAGATATATTTTATCTGCTAACTCAGTTGGAGGTAAGAAACTTAGGAGGAGAGGACTGAAGGTTGAAAGTACACTTGAAAAGATTGAATGAGGTTAGACGTGTATGCTGGTAGACTTGCATTCTGGACATTAGTTGAAATTACAATGTATTTGAATTCAAGTTGACTACCTTAACCCAACAGCAACAGGAATAACTTGGACTGACATAGCACCTCTAACATAATAAGACATCTGAAGTAGTTTCACAGGAATGTTATAAAACAAAGGTTGACTCTACATCGAATAAAATTATTAGCTATTAAGGCAAACATTTAAAAAGCTCGGCTAATGTGAGCTTTTAAGGAGCTCCTAAATAGGGAAAAGAGACCAAGATAATGTGGTTTAGGGAGGGAACAACAAACCTTAGGGCCAAACAGCTGAAGAAGCAGCTCTGAATAGTGGAGTAATTAAAATCAGCATTGCTCATGAGGCTAGAATGAGAAGAGTGCAGATATCTGAGAGTTGTCAGACCGGAGAGTATACAAATAAGGGTCAAAGCCATGTAATGGCTTGAAAGTAACAATGAAAATTTGAAAATCAAGGTATTATTTAGCTAGGTGCTAACATAGGTCAGTGAGCACATGCGTGATAAGCAAATGGGACTTAATACTTGGGCAGCGGATGTTTGGATGAGCTGAGGTTCAAGAAGGGTAGAATGTAGGAGGCTGACCAAGTACGTGAGAAATAGTTAACTCTAGGGATAACAAACACATGGATCAGAATTTCTGCAGGCAAAGAGCGAAATGGCTGGGTGATGTTACCATCTAAAATTCTGTCAAACAGCAAATTCATTTTAGAAACTTTGTAGCAAGCAAAATTGTTTTAAATCTCTATTATGAAAGGGTTAAATGGCTACAAAGCAAGCCCCACTGTTTAGTTCAATAATTACTTCCTTATGTTATGGTTTAAATTTATGAATGGTACGTTGCTTGTAATAACTTGGAGATCACCTGTTGTGCTGTAAATTATTCTTGCTACGTTCAGGATTTTCAAACATTTATTTTCTGTAAAGAAAGAACTAAATTAACTGTTCCTTGATTCCTTAAATATGGCTGTAATACCTTACCTGCTGTCAGTAGTATCACTTTTTTTGTTATTTAACACAAATTCCTTTAAGCACACTAAGGAATCATTTCCAGATGATTTACAAACTGTTGAATCTTTTATTTTCATGTTGTGCTCACAGGGAATTCTCTGTTGCTCCGTGTTTTACCTTCGGTGTATGAGAAACAGCCTGAGCCAATTAACAGCTACATCACAGAGCTCGTCCAATTGATGCCACAACTGGAGCCATCTGAGCAGCAGCACCTTCTCCGCCTTCTACAAATAATTACTAAGCAATGTCCTCAGGTAAAACACTTCTAAACTGATCAATTCATTCTTAAAGATTTGCATTTGAATAGTACTTTTCAGGACCACTGAATGATCCAAACAATGAAACGCTTTCAAATGTTGGAAGCAAGGCAACCAAGATTGCCCAGAGATAGGAAGAACTGTTGATGCTGGAATCAGAGATAGCACAGTATGGAGCTGGAGGTACACAGCAGGCCAGGCAGCATCAGAGGACCCCCTTCCCCTCCCACATTTCTGAAGAAGGGACCTGACCCAAAACGTCAGCTTTCCTGCTCCTCTGATGCTGCCTGGTCTGCTGTGTACCTCCAGCTCCACACTGTTTAACCAAGATTCCCCAAAGTGTCTCAAAGCAGTGTGATGATGCCCAGAACATCAGTTTTTTTGTGAAGTCGATTTTAGGATAAACATGACAGGACACCAGGGATTATGCCATAGAATTTTTATCATCCACCTGAGAGGGAAGGTGGGCATTCATTTACCACTTATCCAAAAGACCGAATCTCTGACAGTGAAACATTTCCTCCTTACTTCATTGGAGTGTCAGCCTTGATTTTCACCCTGGAGTGGGACTTGAACCAACAAACCTGGTTCAGAGGTGAGAGTACTACTAATTGAATTGTAGTAGGCATGCACACATCTTTTAATGATTTATCTCATTGCTGTTTTCAGGACATTGTTGTAGCCAACATGGCTGCCATGTTTTTCTATTTTTCGTCAATCACTCTTGATGACACTGTGCAATACGACAGGGACTTCAGTGGTTCAAAAAGGTAGCTCACCAGCATCTTCTGAAAAGCAAAACTAGGGATGGGCAGTAATTCCTGGCCTAGCTAGCAAACATCAACATTCTGTGAACGAATAAAAAAAACCCTCCCAAAATACTATATGATGCAAGACGAACAACTAGAAACTTAATAAAAACCGAAAGAACTGTGTAAACTCAAAGCAAGTTCGTTATTTGAAATTTAGTCTCAATGAAGCTTTCACTTCTAGTGTTTTGTCTAACTGGATTTTACACTCCGCTGCTGATGTGTTTGAAGGGGCTTGTAAAATGTGGTGTATTATCTGCCTGCTGCCTTCCTGTCTGGCCATGGAGGTGTCCAGCCATTTGCCCACCTGTTGCGGTACTTAAATGCTCACAATGGCCACTTTATGTGCCTAATTCAACTCCTCAAAACCATGTTTTACAAATGATAAGGAAAAGCCCAGACCAAGTGGGTGGACTGGCAACTTTAATTGGATTGAATGTTATTGGTTAAGAGGGGGATTCTCCTTTTGAGGGTCTCACATTGAAGGCACCCCCAAGATCATATCCTACCCCTTAACCTTACCCCCTCCAGTTCCGCAAACCCTACCTTCACTCTCCCCTCACTGCTGTGGCCAGCCAGGCCCTGTTTATATGCTTGAATTGCCTTCAGCTCATACTTCCTAACCTCCTATTTTTTATTCACTTATGGGATGTGGACTTTGCTGGCTGGGCCAGTATTTATTGCCTATCCCTAACTGTCCTTCAGATGGTCATGATGAGCTGCCTTCTTGAACTGCTGCAGGCCATTTGGTGGAAGTATACCCAAAACAATGTTAGCAAGAGATTTCTGAGATTTTGACCCCAGTGACACTAAAGGTACAGTGATATATTTCCAATTCAGGAAGGTGACTGGCTTGGAAAGAAACTTGCAGGAGATGGTCCTTCTAGATATTAGTGGATGTAGGCTTGAAAGGTACTGTCTAAGGAACTTTGGGGAATTTCTGCAATACATCTTGCAAATTGTACACACTGCAGCTACTGCATATTGGTGGTGGAGGAAGTGAATGTTTGTGGGTGTGGTGATACTTTACTGAGGTGTTTTGGCCTGGATGGTGTCAAGCTTCTTGAGTGTTGTTGGAGGTGCACCCACTCAGGCAAGTGGGGAGTATTCTAACACACTCCTGACTTGTGCCTGGTCAATGGTGGACAGGCTTTGGGGAGCCAGGAAGTGAGTTACTTGCTACAGGATTCCTTGCCTCTGATCTGCTCTTGTAGCTATAGTATGTATGTAGCTATTCTAGTTCACTTTCTGATCAATGGTAACTCCAGGATATTAATAGTGGAAGATTAAGTAATGTTAATGCCATTGAATATCAAGCGGCAATGTTAGATTCTCTCCTGTTTAAGATGCTTATCCCCTTGCACTTACATTCCACAAATGCTGCTTCTTTTGGGGCTGCCTGTAGCCAGATTGGCTACTAAATCTCTGAACCTTCCTCCCCAGATGGGTGGGAGGTTTTGTCCTGAGCTAATTTGGGACAACTGGAGGATAAAATATCTGTAGAGCAGCTAGCTAGTTTTATCATGGGTGGGGTGTCAACACAATATTTGAGTTGTGGATGTGTTGGGCAGGCCGTTGGCAGTGGTGCTGGGTAAGTACGTAGCAGGGAGATCACAGCACCTTCTAAAGCCCAGCCTAGAAGTGAAATAGGGATGAGCTTAAGAGTATAGTAGTCAGAAGGACTCACATTTTCTTGTGATGGGTATTGAATGATTGGTGATGTCACTGAACATTCCTGATCCCCGTGCTCATTCGAAAGGGGCTTAGTTTAAACATTTGCTTCTGCATGTCCTGTTCTGAAATTCGCCCAACTCTAGGTTCTTAGGTGAGTGCCACACCTTGTTGAAGTTGCTGATTTCCTAAGAATTGGATCTTGGATTACAGTTCACAGCCCCTATCCTGCCAGATCAATACTGATGGTCATTGTCTGCAGGGTTTCCCTCTCCATCAAACCCGTTCATAGGTCTGACCCCATTTATGTCTTTATATCCCATCCCACTGCGCTCTCGCTGTTGGCCATGATGATAACATTGAACGAGTAATCCAGAAGTCTAGTTTAATGCCCGGGAAATGTGGTTTCAAATACCATGGCAGCTGGTGGAATTTAAATTCCATGAATAAAATCTGGAATTGAAAGCTAGTTTCAGTAATGGTGCCCATGAAGCTATCATCAGTTATCATGCAAACTAATCAGGCCTGTTTATGTCCAGTTAGTTCGAGGGAAGATAGGTAAAAACTAAATGCTGGCCTTGCGGTGACATGCAGTTTTCAGTGAATACATTGCAAAGTTTAGTTCTGGATTGCTGTCATGGGTCTTCTGATAGAAGATCAAAATTATCATGTAAGCCTTGATTACTGTTATATATCGGCGTATTCATTGCTAGGGAAGGCTTCCAGAAAATAGAGAGAAAAATTAGCCCATTATTCAGGTAGGAATTTATTGAAAAAGGAAGGAAAGAATAAAAACGACTTGTCAGGTTTGATTTCAGTTAGCAGTCTCTACAGAGAGCCTCAGTTTCAGTTCATGTGATTGAAATACCGGTGAAAACAACAGTGCAATTATCCTCCTGGATGAGGATAATACATATCGAGTAATATTTTTTTCAAAATGCTCAGCTACTAATAGAATTTTAGGAGCAGTTTAATAAAGAAAGAAGGAAGAATCATGATTGACATTTTTATATAGACCTTATTAGAAGGGTGGGATCTGTGGTGTGACTATATATTGAGCGCTGTGACATGTCTGGCATTAAAATATTAAAGTAGATTTACAAGTGGTTGATCAGTTCTAATGCAGACTTTATGGAACTGGGCATTTCTAAAATGTAGACTTTACATCACTGTGCCAATTGGCAAATCTACATCAGATATAGCAACTGTTCATAGAGTTAATCAATCAATTTAGGCTGTGGTCGGGTTAGTTTTCCCTACGAACTGGCGCTAGTTCCAAAATAAACGTTGGGGCAAGAAATTGTTTATGAGGAAATGATTGCAATGATGCAATTTAGAAAGGTATCTTGTGGTGAAATTAGATATTTAAGGTTGGATATGTTTCTACTGTTTCAGAAAAATGTGTAGAAGTAATATCCAGTCTGCAATGAAAAGGAAATATATAGACTGATGACTATCTAAGAATGTTAATAATTTTCATTATTTTTAAAAGAATTTTCAAAGCTGTGATCAGCATTTTGCACAGCTGATAATTAGAGTGAAAGTAAAGGATAAAATAACTTCCTAGTGATTATTGGGGAGTAAAATGAAAATTGTGAGGAGCGAACTTATATAGAGGAAAATAGGGAACACAGGAGAAGGGGGTCTAATGTGATTTAGTTGTTCTCTGCTATTGCATATGTTTAAATGTTAAGCAAATGTCAGAAGAGATCTTAAAGGGATTTTGTTTGAGTTTTGGTGTTTGGATGGAGTAATTGAAAATTGAGACTGTACAATTTAGTTCTATATGCATTCAGATTTAACTGTTTGCCTTCTGTTTTGATGATTTGTGGTAAGAAAAATTGCATGATCTTAGTTCAGGAAGTTTAGAGGTCATCAAGGAGTGCTACAAAATCATCTTTGCTGAATGTATTGCAAAACAAAACACTACCAGCTAATGTTTGCAGTAGAGTGCTGTGATAGATTTGGCCAAAGGCTGTTCAGCTAGCACTAGTAGAGGATGAACCACTAACAATTTTAACAAGAGGCACCTGTATAAACAACAGGATGTAGTTTATTGTATCATAGCAACAGGTACACATTATATTAGTTAGTTAGTCATAATTACTGAGACTGGCAGGAAGTTTTTAAAAAAGTAACATGGACAATTTGGTGGTGAGGAAATCCATTCAGTGATGTGTAAAATCATCTCTGGATTTCAAAAAAAAAGACTATCAGGAACCATGTCTGAGCCATCAGAGTCTTCTTTTGCCTAGCAAAAATTATAAATGCAGCTTCCAACATTCACCCCACTCAGAATCATTTCCTCATAAAAAAAATTCTCCCACACTTTTTTTGTGTGCTCAGGATTCTAGCCATAGCTAGCTGTTTCATATTTCTATTATCCAGTAGCAACACAAGTGCTAACAATATGCTATTTCAAGCTAAAAGGATGTGCTACCTGTCACACAAATGAGTAGTGTTATATATGGATTTCAGTGCTAGTGTGATGCTAACATGTAGGCCACACATCCCAAA